TAATGTAATTACTAATCGAGATTTCTCTTTTAGCAGGTTTTTCAGATCTAGCGATTGGGCGGTATAAAAATAAGCAAGTTTCCACCTTGATAAGTTAGTAATAACGTTGCTCTTATATATTTTTGCCGGCTTCTCCGAAAAAAGTTTACTTATTCGCAATTTACTTCCAAGGTCTGGTTATCATATATTGTTTATATAAGAGATTTTTTATTCCTAAAGTTAATTTCTACTTACTATGGGTTTTTTTATATATTTCTTGCAGAGTCCCCCAAATGTCAATTTTTAACCTTAACTGTGTCCTCGTTAATGATAAAGGAAAATACTCCGAAGATGAAGTTTTTACAATTGAAATTTCTGAAGATAAAAAGTATGAATTGCTCAAACATATGGTAAAAAAACGCTTGGCACCTTTATTTGATCCTATTCCTTCTACTCAAATCATTCTACGTTCATCTCCCAATGGTATTATTTTTAAACCAATGATTAAAATTTCTAAAGACTTTACTTCTACCCTCGATGAAAATGGCGTTCATATTTACGTAGATCCCCCAAGAAATTAATTTTTTTAATTTATATTTTTATTTGTACGCCGTTTCGGCAATATATATACAGTATATTATTTTTATAATAAAGCAAGGTTCCAGGCATGAAGTGCCATGATTTTTAAATGGTATTTTGATGGTTAACTGTGGTTTGCAATTACTAATTAGCAAACAGAAGTGTCATATTCGAGGTTACTAGCTCCGTGTAGCGATTATAGCATTCTTTTGGTTAACTATATTTAACCGCCTTTGTTCCATAATTGACCCCGATTACACATAATCATACTTTTTATTTCTGTGATAGAAACCGTAATATAACTAATTATTTTTTGGCTAGGCCTGGCTAAAAACTTGTACGAATCGATTATAAGTTTTTTCCCATTCTTTCATAAGATCATCGAGCCATGCAGTACTTAAACCGCTCTTTACCATACTGCGACGTAATAACTCTTCACCGACCAGCCTCTCCCGATCTGTTAAAAATTCACGATATTTTCTAGGGTCTTCTTTACTTTCTATTCCACCGCGATAAAAGCGTATATCTCTTTCCAAATCCCCACGAAAACATCCCATGGTCCACCTATTTTTCTCAGCTTCTGTAATAACTGAAAATTTCTCGGGATCCATTTTATGCTCGATGACATATTGGCGTAAGCCTGCCTCTGGCTGATAAAGGCGGGTTTTGTTTGGTACACTTACTTGAATTTCCGGTAAGCTCTGTATAGCGATTATAACTTTCTTTTGATCGATACGGAAAGGGCAATTAAGAAAATAGTGATCATTTTTACCGAGACAGCTCCAATCGCCCCATATACCTCGACGTGTATGTACCTCTTTGCATACTGGGCATTTAGCTTCTGAATCGGTATATTTAAAAACATCCCGGTGCCATGCATTCGATTTAATATATTTCAAGAAAGGAAATCGTTTTTGCACTGCTTCAATAATTACATCTTTCTCTTCTGGAAACTTGGAAATTTTAATAATGCAATCTTGTGAGATATAATTATTGGCATCCTTTTTGGTCGTGCTAACTTCATTGATTTGTGAGGATTCAAAAGTTTCAGACTTTATCCAAGGATCGAGTCCAGTCTCTTCCATATATGCTTTATATAATCTAGAACGAATTTTATCTGTCTGAGAACTTGGTAAATCAACTAAATTAGCATGCCATTTGCAATAGTCATCAGTTAATATCTTGCTGGATGTTGTATCAGAAGACATGTTATCGTTTTATATTAATACAAGTCAATTCAAAATCACGTAGCTGTCAAGAGCGAAGCGCGAAGTAAAAAATATCACTATCCACTTATCCAAGTTTATGTAATTATTTACTTATGCTGTGATCTCAATTTCATGCCCCCCACATTTAATAAAATAGGATGATGCAGAGCATCGAATCTCTGATTCTTCAGCTTCATATCTACCTCTTATACTCTTCTCATCCTTATGACTCGACTTGCATGCTGGACATAACGACTTATCAA